ATGGTTTGCTTCACATCAGCTGTTATCAGCCTTTTATTCTGCCTCAGCTGATTTATTTGGATCTTCAGAACCAGCTGTTGCTGTTTTGACCAGTGAAAATAAACCAGGAGGAACAAACAAGAAGCTAAAGGATAATCTTCAGTTATTATCACGATATTGAAATATCACTATATATTGCGATATTTTAACCAGCTATCAAAACAAAATGTTCAGATAAAAAAGCAAGTGCTGTATACAGGTGCTGGTCATAAAATTAGAATATCATGAAAAAGTAGATTGATTTCAGTAATTCCATTTAAAAAGTGAAACTTGTATATTATATTCATACATTACATACAAACTCATATATTTCAGATGTTTATTTTGTTTAATTTTGATGATTACAAATGACAACAAATGAAAATCTCAAATTCATCATATCAGAAAATTAGAATATTACTGAAGACCAATAAAAACAAAGGATTTATAGAAATGTTGGCCAACTGAAAAGTATGAACATGAAAAGTATGAGCATGTACAGCACTCAGTATTTAGTTGGGCCTCCTTTGGCCTGTATTACTGCAGCAATGCGGCGTGGCATGGAGTCGATCAGTCTGTGGCACTGCTCAGGTGTTATGATAGCCCAGGTTGCTCTAATAGTGGCTTTTAGCTCTTCTGAATTGTTGGGTCTGGTGTATTGCATCTTCTTCTTCACAATACCCCATAGATTTTCTATGGGGTTAAGGTCAGGAGAGTTTGCTGGCCAATTAAGAACAGGGATACCATGGTCCTTCAACCAGGTACTGGTAGCTTTGGCACTGTGTGCAGGTGCCAAGTCCTGTTGGAAAATGAAATCTGCATCTCCAAAAAGTTGGTCAGCTGCAGGAAGCATGAAGTGCTCTAAAACTTCCTGGTATGTGGCTGCGTTGACCCTGGACCTCAGAAAACACAATGGACCAACACCAGCAGATGACATGGCACCCCAAACCATCACTGACTGTGGAAACTTTACACTGGACTTCAAGCAACGTGGATGAAGTGCCTCTCTTCTTTTCCTCCAGACTCTGGGACCTTGATTTCCAAAGGAAATGCAAAATTTACTTTCATCAGAGAACATGACTTTGGACCACTCACCAGCAGTCCAGTCCTGTTTCTCTTTAGCCCAGGCAAGACGCTTCTGACGCTGTCTGTGGTTCAAGAGTGGCTTGACACAAGGAATGCGACAGCAGAAACCCATGTCTTTCATACGTCTGTGTGTGGTGGTTCTTGAAGCACTCACTCCAGCTGCAGTCCACTCTTTGTGAATCTCCCCCACATTTTTGAATGGGTTTTGTTTCACAATCCTCTCCAGGGTGCGGTTATCTCTCTTGCTTGTACACTTTTTTCGACCACATCTTTTCCTTCCCTTCGCCTCTCTATTAATGTGCTTGGACACTGAGCTCTGTGAACAGCCAGCCTCTTTAGCGATGACCTTTTGTGTCTTGCCCTCCTTGTGCAAGGTGTCGATGGTCGTCTTTTGGACAACTGTCAAGTCAGCAGTCTTCCCCATGATTGTGTAGCCTATAGAACTAGACCGAAAGACCATTTAAAGGCTTTTGCAGGTGGTTTGAGTTAATTAGCTGATTAGAGTGTGGCACCAGGGGCCATCAATTTTGAACCTTTTCACAATATTCTAATTTTCTGATATGATGAATTTGAGATTTTCATTTGTTGTCATTTGTAATCATCAAAATTAAACAAAATAAACATCTGAAATATATGAGTTTGTATGTAATGTATGAATATAATATACAAGTTTCACTTTTTAAATGGAATTACTGAAATCAATCTACTTTTTCATGATATTCTAATTTTATGACCAGCACCTGTACTTTCATCGTCTTCGTACCATCAAACATTATCCGGAGATTTGGTTCTACTGACCCTGTTGTTGATGTGAGAGATGCTGTGGAGGCTTGCAGGGACAAGGTTGGAACAGAACGGAGAAATGCTTTAAGTTTCATGCTTTGCACGCGTGTCTCCACTGCCTTGATTCCCATCGTGCTTCATCTACATTCCCTGGTAATGGTTTTAGCCATGCAGGAAACTCATAGATGGATAGCCCCTTTTTTGCATTGAATTTAAACTTCTCCATTTTGTCCAGATAAAAAGTTAGTGGCACATAACCCGAAGGTCCGGCCACAAAATTGTTTTTATTGGTTCCGCTATCGGGACGGAACCAGTAATGGTTAAAGCAAGCGGTTCGGTAAATGTAAGAAAAATAATGTCAATTATTTTAATGTTTGATATGGATTACAAAAATAAAATCCTACTTCAAGACCTATGAAAGACAGATTTGAAACATTTTAATACCAATTAAGGCCTTGAATTTATATGAGAAAATTCAATGCCTTTTAAGTCTTTTTAAGGACCTGCGGGAACGATCGATATATCGGGCTGATGAAACTTACGATATGTTGCCAAATAGATTTTTTTTATCTCATCACTCCTAGTTTGCACCTTCAGACTTAATTCTCTTATCAGCTGCTGTTGATCCAGCTGTGGTGATCATCTTAGACAGGAACATCTGGAATAAACCTGCTGCTTTCAGTCCAGTTACCGTCACATCCTTGACCTATAACTTATTAGGATACACAGATCTGGGATTCCTCAAGGTTTTGTGGTTGGAACCCTTTACATCTACAACTTGTTGTGAGTTGGCGCTATATAAACTAATTTGAATTGGTATTGAAAGCAGAGCTGTAGTCCACCAACAGGGTCATAATGTAAGGTACTGGGGAGTCCAGGCACTGCAGGGTGTTGTTCATCATCCATAGACCTGTTGGCTGAACGGGGATCCAGAAACGCCTCTCTATAAGACATTCATAGGACCGCATTATGATAGAGGACAGAGTGACGGGTTTGGAGTCATTTGTTTTCAGGTATGAAGGTGGAGGCTTTAAAGCAGGCTGGCACATGCAGTGTCTCCAGTGAGGTGTTAAAAATCCTTCTTAAAACCAGGAACAGCCAACTGGCACAGTCCTTCATGGTGGATGCGGAGATACAGCAATGGAAGAGATTCTATCTCCTGTTCTATAAGAACCAGGAGGGTTTCAGAGATCCTGACAGGTATGGGCCATGTAGACCTCTCAGACTATTTTACATTATCAGTAAATAATTACTTCCTGCCTGGCAAATCAGGAGAAACTATTGTCAAATCCTTTAGCAGAAAAGTGACTCACCTGAACAGGTAAGGTCTCTAGGGGTCTTCATCTGATCCGGTTCTGCACCTCTAGACCGGGGAACTCCAGATCATGCAAATCACAATAAAAGCCAAGACACAGACTCTGTTCAACAGCTACTTTTATTCTGAAAGGTCACCCCTAGTGTTTTAGGACAGACACTGACTGGGGGGGAGGGCAGGTAAAAAGCAAATCGTCAGAACCTCATTAGCAGGTTTTGATAGGAGCATGACAGAAGTGTCTCGTCTGTTTTCTAACAGACCTTCAGGATGAGTCGAGGACGAAAACAGCCTGCAGCTTTAAGAACAGTCGCCGCCCTAAAGGACACTTTGTGATATTACATTAAATTAAATAAATAATCTGAAACGTGGGACACAGTCGGATTCAGTCAGATTAAAAAAAAACAACAAACAAATAAAATATAACAGCTACAGGAATACTGATCTACCAACTACCCTCCTACAGCTTTGAAGTACCCCAACAATGCCTGCAACTGCTACAGCAGATGCAGGCATTGTTGCAACTGCTACAGTACGAGGGAGTGTGGGGAGACAGAACGTTCTGAGGTCAGTTCAGGTGGAAGAGGCGCCACCTGCTGGATCAGGACCTTCAGGTGGAACAGGAACTAAAAATCATGAGACCTGAAAGATGAGCAGTTAATATGGACACCAGAACCTTGGAGGATCCAATTGGATATACAGATAAAACAACAGTGATCTACTGAGTCAGACAGAACCAGGATGTAAATAAGAAATGGCCTCTCGTGTGTTCACTAACAATTTTCAGAATTTCAAAATATGAATGGGAATCTGTCAGGAAATATCTGGTCTGGCTAAAACACAATCGCCCCCTGCTGACCCATTGATAGTACATGATTAGATCCTTTCAGCACTTTCTTCCTAACATCAGTCCAGTTTGTGAACAGTTAACACAGTTATTTTCATTGAAATCTGTATGTTTAGTTAAATTATCAGGGGTTTGAACTTTTTAATTTTTCTTCAGAGCCAGCTGATCCAAAATGGAATTAGAAATAAAATCAGCCAAAATATGGAGGAATCTAAAACCACAAACAATACCCTGTAGATTATCAAAATTGCAGCTAAAAATTCAGGATCGGTGTGAATATTTATCTCCAAAATTTGTCTGTAATTTAATTATCCTCGCTTTTTTGAATTTCTCGGTTATATGAACACAAACATTCTGCAAGTTCTTGTTTTTCGGGTTCAAATCATCAAATTTGTGAACCCCGAGTTTCACAAAGTACAGTACTTGAGCATATTTAATCGTGCTTGCTTAGTGTTATTTTCAGCACTATTATGGCTCTAAGCTCTGTCTCTTTTGGTGCCTCTCTGTCTGATCCTCTCCCCTGCTCTTAGCAAACTTCTTAGGAAAAATCTTGATCAGCATTCATCCCGCAGCTCTTCCTTCTAGGAATCCGGCCAAATGTATTTGTCCTCCAGAACTGGTAGCTCAGGGTCCAGACTAGGAAGCAGAGTTGTAGTTGAATACACCTATATGCAGCTTTCTTCGTTACCCACCCATTAACCCTCTCAGCGACTGTCTAGCTCATAGCCAGAAACTAACAGATTAGAAAATAATCTAAATGGAGTAAATTGCAAAAAAAAAAAAAAAAAACTAAATAAGTATGACTTAAAAAGAGCAAACAATATAATTATATTTTTTTTAACATAAGACTGCTCTCAAAGATTTAGACAATAAATTGATTTGTGATAATCAGAATAATTTATTTTGTCTCACAGAAACCTGGCTGCAGCAAGAGGATTGCATTAGTATAATTAAGTGAAGGGGTAGCAACCATCTTTCAGTCTGACTAACTGATTAATCCAAAGCCAATTGAACTTTCTAAATCCTAAACCCAAATTTGTTAGGCATGAAAATAAACCTCTATTTTTTGTTTAGCATCGTACACCAGATCCTTACTCTCAGTTTTCAGACTTCCAAACTGATTTAGTGTTAAATACTGACAGCCATAATAGTGGGGGACCTTAACATTCATACTGAAACTGATAGCTTGAATGCAGGCTTTAATGCCATCATGGACTCTAATGACTTTGCTCAAAACATCCGCAGCAAACACACTCCTGTCTTTATAGTCTGGACCTTGTTCTGACTGACATTTGGCATCAAGTGTGAACAAATGACAGAATTTCCTCATAACTCTGAATATTTCCGATAACCTTTGACTTTAATTTATCCAGATATCCTCGTCTGAGAGAACATTCCATTCAATTCCATTTAGATAACCCAGTTTAAGTTCTAATCCAGCTAATTTTTATTGAATTTAACAAACATTAACGAGGTGAGCTAGAGGTTCTGGTCTGACTCTTTAAAAAAAGAAAACATAAGCTCAACCTGCTTTAACGAGGTGAGAAGAAAGTTCTGCTCAAACCTGTTTTATTTTTTGTACTGAAGGTGCTAATCCAGCAGCTGGGAAAGGACCATGATGTCACACAGGTAAGAAAAACATGGAGTATACATTTCTTTCTGAGCATGCTCGCTTACAGTATAGCAGGTACATTCTGCTGCGAGGTTGAAAGGCAGGTGGGTGGAACCTGAGTTTAAAACTCCACCTTACAAGCAGGAAACGTCTCATCCTGCATGGCGACAGTACTGTTGCTACCCAACACGGTCAGATTGAGCTCTCGCTGACGTTCGTGCGTCTCCTGGTACCACTCGTGCATCACCATTGAATCAAAGGTTGGAATGAGGGTCACCTGGAAACAGACCAATCAGAGGGCAGGTTATATGAAGGGCATGGCTGTGAGATAGTCAATGGTAGTGGCACCCACCGGAATGTTGGGCCAGCTGCTCTTCCCTTCCAGCAGACCATCCAAGATGCTCCTCATCATCTCCTCCTTCACCGGATCATCTCCACTGATGATATAATAAGAAGAACGCAGGCGTCTAAACAAATCCTGGTCGACGGTGGAGGATGCAGCGCCAGATGGAAGATAGGCTAGGTCCACATAAACCACCGGACTTTCAGAACCAGGAGTAGTAGCCGACCTGGAACCTGGACATGATATTAACTGGTTATATTAGGTCATTTCCAAGGAACCAGCTTAGTTAACAGGGAGTGTTAATTTCGTCAACCATGACGATGATGAAAATATTTCGTCAACGCCCCTTTTTCCCGTGTCAATGATGAGACAATATTGAACAAAAATTGTTTCCAGAAAATAAAAATATGACAAAAATAAAAAATGATTTTCGTCAACGAAATTCACGATCCATGGACGAATAGACATTAAGAAATGTAATTGTTTATGATTAATTTGAAATTGTTAATATAAGTGTTTCTTGAGCTTCATAGAAGATTACACGCTTACCCACAGCGCCCCGCGGCACTCAGTCAGTAGTAGCAAAGCTCAATTTCGCAGTCATTGCGGATACCAGTGTGTGGTTTGTTAAACGCCTGGATGTACGGAGCCATTTCCTTTACAACGCGAGGGAAAACACCGCAGGAAGGACGCCACCAGCGAGTCTGCGGCTTCAAGATGGCAGGGAAGAAAACAGCAAATCTCAAGCGACATCTGAGGAGCCAAAAGCTGATATATGGATAAGGTAATGAACGGGTGTGTGTGCGCACATGGGTGCATGCATGTGGCTGTGGGTGTGTGTGTGCCTTCCTGTGCCTGTATCTGTCTGTCTCTCTGTCATAGAAGAACGATGTTCTACTGATACACTGGATATTAATTGCTTAGATTTCTTCCTCCCAACCAGATACCTGACACAGTGACACCACAGCCAAATCAGAGGTTGAGGAAAGAAAGGAAGTCTGTTGCAGAGATGCACCCTCACCCCTGACGCCAAAGAGCAGAAAGCCCTGGAGAACTCAATGGCAAAGTGGATTGGTTGTTCTGGCCTGCCTGCAAGGACCATTGAGGATGAAGACTTTGTGGATATGATGAAACAAGCCGACAAAAGGCTCAATGTGTACAGTGTGATATATATGTTAAAAAGAGAATCAGCGTGTGAAGTTCTATTCTGCACTGTGTTATATAAATAAAATAGAGAAAAAGAGAAGCAGTGTGTGGTGAAGTTTTATTCTGAACAGTGTGATATATATGTTAAAAAAGCAGTGTGTGGAGAAGTTCTATTATTTACAGACTAAAATGACTAAAATAACAAAAATGATAAAAATTTTGACTAAGAATAAAATAGATTTTTGCAGACTAAATTTAAAAAAGCTGATGAAATTGAAACTGTTAACAGGTATGTTTGAGGAATACAACCCTGATTGTTTTAAATGTTTCCCTGGTTTGGCACACCTGATTCAGGTGATTGCAATTTTTTTCAAAAAAGGCTGTTTATCAGCCATCAAATAAAATCAGGTTGGCTCAACCAGGAGTGCTTTAAGGTAGATTATGTGTGATTTGAATAAATCATCTTTGTAAAGTACCTTGAGATGATGTGTTGAGAATTGGCCCCATCTAACTAAACTGAGGTGAAATGGTGAGGGCCTACATTAGCAAATAATCCTGAGACTAAATTATCCCCACCATGGCTCAACTTATCACCACCAGTGCAAATGAGCCAGATCTTACAACTTCATACTTTAGTCTTAGGATTCTTTGTGAATAAGGGCACAGGATCAGAAAATCTAACTGAAAACATTTAAAGTCATAGGGAAATCACATTTAAATGTCAAATCATTCTGGCTTAAACATGAATATAAATGTACTCTTTATCACAGGGTATTGTCCCAAAATTGAGAAAATTTCTATTTAAAAAAAAATCCTGTCTTAAGATCTTGTTTTTTTATTTCGTTATCTTATGCAGGCCAGTTAATTATACGTCAGGTTGTACACCTAAATTAACCAATCGTATATCAATGGTCAAATTTTTTTGGCCCATCTTGATTCATATGTCTCAGCTAATATACGCAACGGTTGAAATAGGAGATAAGAATCATTCATTCTTTATTAGTTTCCCACCGAGTTCCGTCCCAGTGTTCACGGGGATGGACGTCTGTGTCTTCAGCAGGCGTAGAGCTAACAGAACTGGCAGCATTGCGAGGCCAGGGTCCAAAGGTAATTTCCCATTGGGAACCTACTAGCACTAGGTTGCTATCTGGTTGGAAACGATAATGCGGAGAAACCGCCCATAATCAAACTTGCTTGCGAACCTTCCGCCACAACAATCCCGCCCTCTGGATAAACTACCAATCACATTCACTTTATTCACTTGGGCACCACTCGGGAGAATTCGAAAATGAAACGGTTGGAACGACCATTTCCCCACGACTTTAATTATCTGGACCTAACTGAAACTATGAACTAGCTTTCAATTGGCCTACCTGATGATTGTGGTCTTGCAGGTCCAACCTTGGATCCACCAAGCGAATTTCGTGCTGATGGTTTGGTCTCCAGACTGGTTTTCATGGACCCGCTGGAACTAGCTTTGGACCTGGTGCTCTGGACAGAGCTGCTCCCTGATGCAGTTCTCTGCAGCGGTTTCTTCTTGGCAGGGAGGGTCTTCGGGCCTTTGTCAGCCTCTGGGTCTGTCATGCAGGCCCCTCTCTGGAATGGCAGTGGGGGCAGGTCTTTAACCGGAGCTGGTGGCGGGTCATGCCTGCTGATGCAGTGCTGACTGGAATGATTGTGTGGCTGACCAGGGAGGAACGTGCTGGAGTCTTCATCAGAGTCCAGGTCTGCGGTGATAGAGGGGCAGTCCTCAGTGCTGGGAGGGATGTCAGAGTCTGTGGCAGTTGGCAGGGAGTCACTAACTGACGTTGGGGGCGTGACCTGACTATAGGTTGAGGTTTCACTGCTGTCTCGGTTTTGGGAAGGATCGTTCTCAGACAGATCTAGTGAGGCACCGGGATTCATCTGATGTTGATGGTTCTCTGCGGTTCTCGGATGCTGGAACTCACAGGGGGACACCAGGCACAAGTCAACATCATGAGGAATATCCAAGGTAAGCTCTGACATCTCATGAATGTTCTCCCTGGATCCACATCCATTCTGGTTAGACCTGATGGAAGGAAGTGGGCCACTGCTGCCGTCTGAGTCGACTATGTGCTCGTTTGTACAGATTTTGGTGGAAGGAACTTTCTCTGAAGAGACTGAAAGTGAATAATCAACCTCAGTGGAGAAGGGGGAGCCGACCTCAGCTGGCATTGAGGTCATGGTAGGGGAGGAGTCTGGTATCATGTCCATGACAGGACTGAGAAGGCTGGAATATTTATCCTGAGATGATGTGGAGTTTTCCAGTCCTTCACGCATGGAGCTGTTATCTGAAGTTCTGCATGAGCCCCCCTGGTGGTAGTCCTCAAAGCCCAGACTGGAGCCTCTCGCCTCAAGGCTGCTGTCCTCTCCAAAGCCTCTGGTGTTGTCTTCAGGAGACTGATGGAAGGGGGTGTGTCCAGCGCTGTTTGGAGCAGAGTCCGCAGGAGAAACCAGCTCCAGAGTTTTCTCCTCAGCCTGGATTCTAGGGGAACCCTCAGGCACCAGGAATGTTGCTGGGGTGAGGTCAAAGTTAACACTGAGCTCACCTTTGGGTGTTTTGGCAAGAGGTGAAGAAGTTTTGACTAAATGTTGGTCCGCCTCCACAGAGCGGAACTTCTCTGGACTCTCTGCTGTGGAGGTTTGGTCCCCACTGGTTGATGTTCCCTCAGAAGTCCCTGTAGTCTCCTTATCCGGACCCCTGTTTCCGTTGGCATCTTCCAGACAAAGCCTGCTGAGCTCCCCGGTCACATCCTCAGGCGTTGAAGTCTTTGAGCTTTTGGCCTCCTTCTGGATTTCCTTGGATCCCACCTTTCCTTTTGTTTCCTTGTTTAGCGGGTCTTTCTTGGGAAGCATTCCATCCTTCTTTATATTTCCAGTTTTCCCTGAACCTTTCTTTTGGTCTGTAGCTCCAGTTGAAGGGATTCCAGGAGTTTTCTTCACTTCTTTAACCGGCAATTTTACTGGTTTCTTCTCCTCGGGTTTACCGTCCTTCTTACTGTCTTTTTTTGGTTCATTTTTAGCTTCTTTCTTAGCCTTCAGACTTGTTGTGTCCTTCTTCGCAACTTCCTTCTTCCTCTCTGTGAGATCTTCCTTCTTCACAGAATGAGCAGTCAACTTCTCGTCCTTCTTCTTCCCTTCCTTCTTGTCCTCCTTTGGCGCGTCTTTCTTTGGATTAGGTTTCTCAGAAGTCTTTGCCTGCTTTGGTTTCATGTCGGCCTCCTTCACTTTGCCCTTTTCTTCTACATTCTTAGGGGCGGATTCGCCTGCTGCTTTACTCTTCATCTTCAATTCTGGTTTTCGTACTTCGACCCGTGCAGGTTTGTCTTTCTGTAAGGCACTGTTTGGTTTATGGTCTTTGGACGGGAACTTGAGACTTTCTCGACTCTCTTCACGCTTTAGAGGTTTCTGGGTTTTGGGTGCTTCCAGCTCCTCCAGACTCACAGACGGCTGTTTGAGGAAATCTACATGTGAGAGTTTTTCAAGACTGTCCAGGATTTTGGTCTGAGGAGTGCATCCGGGGAAGAGAACTCTGATAATCCTCTCCTGGGGGCTGGATGGATGCCAAACCAACAAGGCACAGATGGAAACCAGGCACGTTAGGGGAAGACTGGGGCTCTTTGTGCTGGTGCTGCCATTTGGCCAAAGCTGCAGCAAAGCTTCCAGGTCCTTACAGCCTCTGACTGGATTTAGGATGTACAGCTCCAGACGGCCCACCCCCATCTTTTGAAACAAGATCAGTGGTTCTATGGTGGGTCCATTGAGCCTGCTTAAAGGTTCAGGTCTTATTGACAGCTTCTGCAAGTTTAGCAAAGTGACCGATGCCTGGTCACAGCCCTGCAGTAGGCTGGGATCCGGCTTGATGGTCTTTAGTCTGTCAGGAGCGTTGAAGAAAACCACGCCGATCTCTGGAGAAATGAGGTTCTTCATCCTGTCCTCTCCGGGGTCAGCTCCGGCAGCCTCTTGGTTCTGCTCGGCCACCTTCCTCAGCAGCAGGCTGTTTAGGCCTGGCAGGTTATCAACGCCAATGTGGGTCAGGAGCACCGAGTCAATCCTGTCCAGGTGTCGGACCAGCTTCCAGTAGCAGGACCGGGGATCCGAGCCACCGTTTACCAGGACATTGAAACCGTTGACAGCGAAGAAGGCGGAGTCTCCTCGCCCGCCTGGGAAGACGTAGCAGCAGGGTCTGGACAGCTTCAGGAAGCCCACAGTGCTGGGCGGCTCCAGCAGGTTGAAGGGCGAGTCGGGCTCCAGTGACTCAGAGAGGTACTCTGTGAACTCCTGCAGACCCTCCATCTCTGGCAGAACGGGGCCCGGGTTGATCCGGATGCTTATGAAGTCCTGCAGGTTCTGTTGCTGCAGCTCTGATTCCTTCCACAGCCCAAGAACGGGACAGCTGAGGGTGAGACTGGCCTTCTGAACTGGGTCAGCAGAACTTAGCAGCTCCCCAACCTGCGGCACCAGAAAAGTTACAGAATCTGAACAGACAGGAACCAAGTGTAATAAAAGCTGATCTGGATTGGACCTTTAGCTGGTTCGGACCATCAGAACCTAAAGCATTATCTCACCTCCTCATCAGCAAATATCTGCACAAAGTCCCTGAAGGAGAAGCAGCCCTGCTGCAGGACGAGGTCTCTGCTGTTCTCCACACACTGACCGGCCAGAACCAGCAGCTTGTGCCGAGACGGGCTGCAGACCAGCCGCTGGACCTGATCCGAGACGGTGAAAAATAAAAAAGATAGAATAGTGACGTCCTTTACTGTCCAACAATGAAAGAAGAGTGGAGAGAAGAAAACTATCATCAAATTAACTCTAAAATCTACAAACTAAACTTTTATGCTTGGGAGGAGCTGGTCTGGTTGCTAAGGGAACCAATAAACACATGGGCTGTGACAGATCAGTCTGAATCTGTTTTTTCTGCAGATTATAACTCAGAGGAACCAAGAAACCTTCACACACACACACGTTGTGTAACACTATACTTGTGTGGACTTTCCATTGACTTCTATTCATTTCCCACTCATTTCTATGACCTAACCCAGACCCTTACCGAAACTCAATTCACACCTTAGTCCTTAACCTAACCCCCACGCCAAGAAGATAACCTTTCCCTCATGAGAATCAGTTGTTGGTCCCCACAAATACCTAGAAGTCCCCAAAATGTAGCATATTCCTGGAAAATGGTTCACACAAGATAAGAAAAACATGGCCACAAACACACACACACACAGGAAGGAGGAAGTCTCAGGTTCTCACCTCTGAGCAGACAAAGCTGTGGGCCGGGTTCACCACAACCCGAGTATCCAGAACTTCTCCACTGTGCTGCAGAGTCCGCTGACCTGCAGAACCAAACAGAACTTTTATACAGAGCCCAGGGAAGCCAGTCTCAAACTCATTTCATGAGTCAGCGCCAGAACTGAGCTCAAAGATGGTGGCAGGTACCAGCTTCAGACCAACAGCACTCGCTGGAACCGCAACCCCAGAGGCTAATTTTGATCAGAACCAGTCTATTTATCAAACCGGACTATCTTCCCTTCTGCCTTAGTCTCCGCCCATCTCTGCCTGACATCAAGATGCATTCACTGACCCCGCGGAGGTTAAATTTCTACAGTTTTGAGCAAGATGATAGAAAGAATGTGGAAATGGTTCTGCTCCTTTTCTGTCAGCTGATAGCCGTGACAGAACAGTTTAGCTGCCCTTATGCTCGTCTGAGTTTGGACCTGTGGTCTGAGCCCATCAGATTCAACACTGAACTCATTTATCAGATTTCAGATCATAAAAGACCCGTAATAAACTCAAGCCACTTAGACGAACCGGGTCATGCAGTAGAACTGGGTCCTAGTTAGAAAACAGCGCAGTCAGGTCCAGTTTTAACATTTCTACTGGGGAAAAAAAAGGGAAAACAAGACTGACCCGGAACCAGGACTGTGGTGGGAACCCGCCTGATGTTTCTGCAGGCGCTTCAGCAGCGTCTCAGCTGACCGTGTTTATGACTAACTGAGGACAACCAGAATTGTGTGTGACTAGAACCACCCAGATCAACACGTCTCTGAGGAGGAATTAGCCCACCACAGACAACTCAGATATTCTGCAGGTTCTGCAGGCACACAGGGACTGGACCTAGAGTAAGGTCCATCTGATGGACCAGTTGACCCCAGGCTTTCTAAGGTCACCTTCAGGAAAGTTCTCTCAACATCAGAGTCTCGTAATAGCAGACCCACACACAGCTGGTTCTGATCAGCGACGATACGGTCACCTTACATCACCACTTCAGCTGGTTCAGCTATTAAAAATAGAACTACGGACCGGGGGCCTTTAACACCGTCCATCCAAAACCTGAACCAACAGAGCAGATTCTGAGGTTACTTTTCATTTGTGAATCTCATAAACAGGCTTCAGGATACATATGACTTTTACAAAGTGTTTAAGGATTTAGAGGACCTTTAAAGATTTATAACCACGGGTGAAAATAAGCCGGAACAGTAAGATTTAGGGGCGGTACGCAGCTCTGTCTGCTTTTTTGTGCCACTAACCTCAGCTTAGTTACCGATCTGAGAGCTTGTTGAGACAGATGTGCAATGTTTAAATCTCACACACGCTCATTCAATAGTCGTCTGATGCGCACACAACTCTCAGCTGTTCTCGGGCAGAAATCCATCTTTGCTCACGCTTAGTTCCCCGTCTGCGAACCATCGGCGCTCAACTCCGATGGTCACTCAATATGTGATTGATCAACACCTTCTGCCAAGTGTGAAAAATGCTTGTCTAGCTTTAAGTTAACTTCTTTCAGCTCACACCGTCTCCTGCACTGGTGGAGGCGATGCAAAACTTTCTTTATCTTAATCCCTAAATTGTATCCAGAATAAATATTTTCTGCTCACTGTTTATTTGGATGAAGACCCAGATGAAAAGGCACAGATCTTCTTTGAATATTTCTGTCTATATCTCCATCTACTTCCTGCTAATATCTATTCAAATAAGATGTAAATGTTTCCTTGTATTGTCATGAAAACTTTCTCTCCATTTCCTTTGAATATTTCAATTTTAAAGTTTACATATTTTCTATATTAAAGTCTGGCATGTCATGACATTATGAGACACTTGTAACAAGCCTGATATTTTTGTTACATATCAGGCTCCTATGAAGGGATTAAAAAAAAAACATAGTAGCCGTCTGTCGGGAAGATCTTTGTCAGTGAGTAGAGATGGTGCATGCTAGACGGCGGGCTCAGATAGGAGGGAGAAGAGTTGTTTCCCCCACATGACATCTTTAAGGGAATGCTTTTCGAACAGACATTTTGGGCAGACATCAGTTAATAGGTGGAGAAAGGCAGAGAAGGGTGAAGGGTTTGCTTTCATTTGGGGAGCTCATACACAGAACATCAATTATGGATAATATTGGGTCTTTAATTGCTCAGTTATTCTTCATGAAGGCATGTTTAACTATGGAATGAGCCCTGTGGACAAAACCTGTTAGTCTCAGCGTGGTTTTCTCCATTCCTAATATTCTATTTTAATCTTTATTTACATCACATTTTCATAGACGTGATATGGATGGCTCAAATAATAAGATTTCTAGATGTTTATATTCATATATCCTCTCCAGTAGGAGCTGTCGCTCAGTTGCGCTTCTCACCTCGAACATCTTCAGATAGAAAAGCCGAATGTCTCGACACAAAGAGCTTCAGCTGCTGATCCAGAACCGGAACCTCCAGATCCATCTGCCAGCAGCGCACACCTAAAAAAGAAACATCCTCTGATCATCATCATAATGAACACACTATTCTTCCCCTCTGGCACTTCATGCATAAATAAAGTGATTCTTTCACACTTAAAGGTGTGGATATGTAGAAAACTCCAAATTTGCTGCAGCCGGAAACCAACAACAAAAAAACTGATGTGTAAAACTGAATTAACATGTCTAAGCAACCGTGGTAATGGCTGTGATCCTTGTTCAATTCAGATGTTGGATTTAACAACTGGTGAAAACAATTATAGAAACCTGCTTCTTTTATGGTCTCTGCTCAGCCACGGTGTAGCTGGATTCTATGGATGAAGTTTAAACATCCCATAGAGCTGGCATGGGGATGGCTGTGAATGACATGAGCTGTCAGCTGGCTTCCTCTAATATGATTTGCTTCCAAGGAAGCCAAAAAGAGTGAGAACTAAAACCAGTACCAGCAGAACATGGTTCCTCCTGGATTCTCTCTGGTAAGTCTGAATCTGCTGATAATCTCCTCATCATCACTGAGATTTTGCCTGGATTTTATTTTCAATGCATCCTGAGCTGTAAGTAAAACATGGTGTCAAAGGGTTCATTTTTCAGGCTCACTTGTGAGGCACGACAACCTCTCAGCTGTGGGTTTGGTCAGAAGGACAGGAGAGCTTCTGGACCCAGAGACAGATCTAAGATGAGCAGCACAATCAGCCTCCCACTCTGTGGTTCAGCTGTCGCTCCTTCCCTAAAGTGATCAGCGAAACCAGAGACTCGGACGGTGACATCATCTCAGCACGAGGAAGATTTCCTCATCTGACAAGAAGTGACCTTTGACACTAGAGATAACAGAACAATCCTGAACAGGTGTGGAGCGACAGAAACACGCCTTGGGAAGGTAGGCAAAGCCAAACAGCTTGAAATCATCAACAGAACTCGTCCCTTAAAGCCTGACCAGAACCGTTTGCACGGAGTGAGCCATCGCTGCTTCTTCCAATCTCTGACCAATAAGTCGTTTCCTGCACAAACAGGAAGGTGGTGTGTAGAAACAGGACTTCCTCTTTCTGTTCAGGGGCAACAGAACTTAGGTTCTGCAGAGAAGCTTGGAATCACAGTGATCATGAAGGGTTCAGTAGTAAAATGATCTAAAGGTAACCTGTACAGAACCACAACCCAAAACATCCTGGATACCTGCTTGTTTTAGGTTCTACAGGTTCAGTCAGTACAACCTGATGGACAGCTGAGAGTCCAGCTGCTCTGATGTGGTTCAGCTTGATCCGGATTAGATCCATTTTACCAAAACACTTTTTTGTTAATTGTCTTCAAAACTGTGGGTCATTTGTCTCTAATTATTTCTGCTCAACTTGAATTAGTTTAGTCCACGTGATACATGCACTTTTTTATCATGTCAGCAGTTAGTTTATGTGTGTAGCATATTAGCACCGAAGCTAATTCCTCTACTTGTAAAGCACTGCTGGAAATGAAGCAGTCTTTATCTGTTTATCACCCTGAGAGGCTAACATATAGTACAGGAAGCCAGCATGCTAACATGGATAGCATTCAGTCTGAGCCCCAAAAGTCCTCCTTCGGTGGTTTAAAACATGTCAAGTATTTAATTCACTTTGCTTCTAACCTAACTTAGATTTGTTTAATAAAACCAAGCCGAATTCATCCGGGTATCCGCGCAGGACCACCAGAAGTCGCATGCTTTTATTTTGAAAGGGCGACAGACTTCCCGCCCTACGATTCGGTTCTTCAGTCCAGCGGGACCGGCTCACCTGATTCTATTTGCCGCAGTACCAGCTCCAGCAGCCCGCTGGGCTGCAGCGCCCCAACGACCACAAGCACCGAGTGATCCGCAGCCGCTGCGGGCCGAGACGAACCGGGACCGCCGCCCAACTGCGCCGCCATCGCACAGACTTCTGGATGGCTACGTCATTCCGCACGCGTACGCTCAGCTCCGCCCAAGCAGCTAACGGTAGGGGCGGGAAGAGCAGGGTTCTTGGTAGCCAATCAGAGACAGGGAAACTGAAGCGCTGTCCAATCAAAGGGCAGATGGGTTGAAGGAGACGCAGATCATCAAAATCAGAAGAAAAAGTTAATGAAAATGTATAAACTATATAACCTGCTTCTTTTTGGGAAGGACTCCCTTAATATTTATGTGGTTCGAGCTCTCCCCTTTTCTAAAAAAAAAAAAGGAAAGTTTTGCTCCTTAAATACTGATTGCATTGACCCACCTATTTCTCTTTGTTATGAATACATGTTATTTGGCTTCATCAAGTTTCATTCTGCAAAGGTAAATGATGTTATGTGATTAATGTCATGTATTTATTCAAATAACATATCGATACAATACCAAGTAAATACAGGGTCGATATCGATACGATACTTTTTACATTTAAACTTGATGGATCATGGAGCTGCTGACCTTTCAGTGTTTTTGTGATTTTTATTTTACTGTTACAGTTGAATAATAATATATTATTAATGTAATATTTTGTTTTCTTTTCCTAATCCACCTCTTATATTTTTCAATATTTATGTAATTTTGTTTGTGTTGTGTGCACTTGCTTTTTGCTTTAATTCTTTAAGTGTCCCCGTTGTGGGATAAATAAAGGATTAGTTAATGTTGGCCCACTTAGATAACATGTTTAAAGACTGGTGAATCTGCTGCAGTTTGTGCGTGCAGGAGAGAATAAAAAGTATCGATCTTGTTAATCAAATATTGTTCAATATCAATACCAGCTTTAGTATCAATAGTATTGACCCAAGGATCGATCCGCCCACCTCTAATATTAACAAATACTGTTACAATAAACAAAAATGTTTCCTCCAATTCTGAAAATAAAGTCAATCAATATATTAAGACTATTAAAGGGTTCACTAATGTATAAGCTATTAAAACTCTTGATTTACGTGATCTCTTCAATGTCTTTGTGTAATTTAGGATTCTGGAATCCTGTCTTTGAATACATGGAGCCTCCTGGTGGTTCTTGTTTTGTGTTTGATCACTTTGTACTGCTTTATTTTCCCAATTAAAGTTTGAAAAACCGACAAATGTTTAGACCCAGTTATCAAACACTTTATGTAAAAATTGTTTTTCACTAATGACTTTACGCAGAAAGACAGACAAATATCTTTCAATCTTTTTGCAGCAGGATCGAAGGACAGAGATATACCTGTTATTGTATGTAATTGAGTATAAAATACCGGTAGATACATTTTTTTTCTCTCTAGAAAGCGTTTCCGCTTTAATTTGAATTCCATTCAGTTTATTTATATAGTGCCAATTCACAACACATGTCAACTCAAGGCACTTTACAGTTCACCAGGTCAGACAGTCAAATTGATTCAAAGTTTTCTATCTAAGGAAAACCAGTTGAATGTATCGACTCATTGACTCAAAGGCAATCCCTCATGCTAAGCATGCTTGTAGCGACAGTGGAGAGGAAAGACTCCCTTTTAACAGGAAGAAACTTCCAGCAGAACCAGACTCAGTGTGAGCAGCCATCTGCTGAGGCCGACTGGGGTTCAAGGGGACAGAAGCAGAGAAACAAAAAGCAGCTGTTGAAGGCGGCCCAGGAAACACACAGCCAAGGAAACGACCTGTGAGCCAGCTCCCATGTCAGAGCATGAATAGAGCACATCCAGTTAGTCACGGTCAAAGAAACAGGACTACACTGGAAAACAGCCCAATCTCAAGCATCTATAAACAAGGGTGTGGATGGCAGCAGCACCGGTTGTACCTAAATGAGCTCAACAAGAAGCCAAAGTTAGACAGTAGAGTAATTGTTTTTAAACTTACCATGTTAAAAACTTAAGCAACTATATTTTCACAAAAACTTGAGACTTGGGACATATGTTCATATCTACAACATAATAATATCTTTTTATTACCCCAGTTCCACAATCTAGAAGTAAAGACTACACGATGTGCGGATTTAGAAAACAGTTTTAATGTGAAGGTCCTTAATTACAGAGTACTAATGGGGAAGCTGCGCAAAACTTTACTGCGCAATAATATGATCACGTTTTTCAGACGTTTTGCCTACAGTGCGCCAGATAGAACTCTCTTTTCCTACAGCCCATCGAGCCCCTGAACGCCTCAGCGTGACCAATATGGCGGCGCCCCAGTCCGGCACATGCAACTTCTTCGTCCAGAAAAAGAACCGTTTCTGTAAGATGGTGACCGGGAGAGGGAAACGCTTCTGCGGGGAGCACGCGACCATGGTAAGGCCACAGCAGCCCCGCCCCCACCGGTGAAGCTGTGGATGGAGGATCGATGTTCCTGATCAGGATGTTTTTACTGTTCTAGGAGGAGGGGAGCGCTGGGAGCAGGAGGATCGCGTGTCCTCTTGACCCAAAACAGTGAGTCTTTACTGATCAGCCAGCTGATGCTGCGGACCGATCCGGATTATTTACTAATATCTGTTCTTGTTTCAGCACCGTGGCTGAAGACAAGCTGGAGAAACACCTAAAGAAATGCAACTCTAGAGACAGACCCAAACCGGTGAGACACAGACATCTCCATCCATCCATCAGGGGCGGAGCTAGATGGGGGGGCAGGGGTCTCTAATACAGATGGTGGCAGCTGTAATACTCTCAAGTGGAATATTGATTAAAAAATTTAATGTATTACTTACTTTTTTCATGTTTTCATAATTTCTTGACAACAAAAACACAGTGGTTAATTTTGCACATCAATATAGTAACATTAAATATGATAAATACAGAATTAATGCTCTTTTCAGAACTCGATTTTGTGTTATATGGGGTAAAGAGAAAATGATGTGAAACTCATCTAGGAGTCTTCAGTAACTATTTGAATAAAAACATATTAAATAATCAATTTATTAGTACTTGTAAACATCAATTTTATGCAGATTGATTATTGGTACAAGTAGGTCAGTAATGACAATGGAAAATATTTGCGCTCCAGAACTTATAACTGAAAGGATTTTATCCACTATACCTATTATCTAGAAAGCACAGATGTTTAAATATATGTGTCTATTTGTTAGCAAAGGCTGTAGGAAAGTATATTCCATCCATCCATCCATCCATCCATCCATCCATCCATCCATCCATCCATCCATCCCTTCCTTCTTCCTTCCCTATTGAGTGTTGTTGTTTTGCAGGTTTATTATGTGGAGAACATCAATGCAGGTCAGGCTGATGGAGACCAGGAGCTTCCACAGGTAAGAACCCTGCCTGCCTCCGGACATGATGAAGATGAGGATGATGATGACAGTGGTGATGATGATGACCTGTGTGTCAGGTGACTCTATCTGAGCTCAGCAGAGCAGCGTTGGAGTCTCTGGTGGAAAAACTAAAGAAAGCTGTTGAAGGTGAGTCTCTGCTCCTCTGAGTTCATTGTTACCTAGGTAACCACCTCTTCATCTGGTTCTTACACCTGTGCAGGTTTAGGTATAATCTGGCGACCAGTCAGAATCCTAGAACACTGAAGGTGAAGACCTTCAGAGGATAAAGTGTGTCCAGCTTCTGATTGGTCAGATTTCAAACCTAGTTTTGTGTTTTTGTTGCTGCAGGTCTGCAGAGTGATGTGGAGGAGAGAACCCTGTCCCATCCCATCCTCCAGGAAGAACTTGTTAACCCAAAGAACGGAGACTCCGCCCACAAACACCTGAAGCAGCAGGTGAGGACAAACACCGACTGCAGGTCAAATGAACAGCTAAAAAGTCAACCAATTCATCACGCTTTACAACTGGGATTCACCTGCAGTCAGTTTCCTTAACAGGTGAGGAGGCGGAGCCTGGACTGCTCTACCTGTCTGACCCTACCCTTGTGTTCAGGCCTCTATCTTAGGTCACCTGCAGGAACTGGGGCTACTCAGAAGGGGGCGCTGCTTCGTGGAGTTCGGAGCGGGTCGAGGAAAATTGTCCCACTGGATTCACAGGGCCCTGAAGAACCCAGAACCCTGTCCAGACCAGAACACTGCCAAGGATCCAGGGTCCTGTGAGGATCTTCAGCTGCTGCTGGTGGAGCGGTCCAGCACCCGGTTCAAGGTAAAACTTCAGAAGATCTGTTTTTTTAGGGATCAGACCCTCAGACACCAAGATCAGCTCAGACATTTCCAGAGGTTTCATGTTCAGGGTCTGTCGGGTTTTAGCTATCCTGTATTAAAGCTTTTAACACCAGACCGAACTTTTAAACCATTAGAACCGTGGCTCGGTTATAGGGCTGGTGGTTTGATTCTGAATTGCTCAACATGGAACTTTTCAAAGAGCAGAACCACAGAGGACTGGGTCTGTGAGGAGCCAAATCCAGATCATATCCTTCTCCCCTCTGAACTGAGGTGTGGGATTTATCTTTTCCAGGTGGATGGGAAGAATCAGGATGAGGGCGTGCCATTTGAGAGGCTGCAGGTGGATATTCAGCACTTGGATCTGAGTAAGAACCCAACATGTGGATCTTTAATTGGTGTGAAGGATAGAATCTGATCCGACTCTTGTTTTTAGGTAAAGTTCCTCTGCTGAGGAAGAAGGAGCTCCCATTGGTTGGAGTTGGGAAGCATCTCTGTGGAGCAGCGACAGGTGAGAACCCTACAGACTGATTGGCAACTGCAGCACCGTCTCAGTTCTTCCATTAAGGTTCTGGTTCTGTTCGGTTCCAGATCTGGCTCTCCGGTGCTTATTGGAAAAACCCAGAAACGGTGAGGATCCTGAACCTCCTCCAAAACGTCTGAAAGGGCCCAGAACAGAGGATGACGCGGAGCCAGACCCACCTACCTCACATTCGGGGCCTGGTACCGGTCTGGGTCCGGTGCTGGGCCTGGCGGTGGCGCTGTGCTGCCACCATCGATGTGAGTGGCGTCACTACGTGGGTCAGAACTTTTTCCTAAAGAGGGGACTCGGACCCGAGGAGTTCTCCGCCTTCTGCCGGATGTCCAGCTGGGCCACATGTGGGATCAGACCGGCCAATCAGAACTGCCCTTCAGATGATCCAACCAATCAGAGGGGAGAGGAGGAGGAACACGAAGCAGCAGAGGAGGAGCAAACAGCGAGCGGGTAAATGTTTGAGCACGTCTCAGTAGTTATAGTAGTTAAAACTGATTGCCCGTTGGTAGAATGAAGTTGAAGTGAAGCCAACGGCCGCCATATTGGTACTCCCTAGTTACACAATATGTAAACAGTATGTGCGCTACAGCATTGAACAACGATGATGTTCTCACTTTCAGGGGACTTAAGATTTTTAAAAGAAAGATAAATTTATCACTTGGACACACCTGCTGTTTCACAGCATCAATAGATTATTTTAACTTATACCGGTAATAAAAATACAAAAGAAAAGGGGAACATCACATTGCACAGTCATTATGAAGTCAAAGAAAGTCTCTAAATGTAATACAAATCCATATTATACAAATCCAACACAATAAATTAATGTGTTAATGGAGCATAATAATACAGATGTGCCAAAAGCGCTAAATTGATGATGTAAATGTATTGATTCATTGATTTGTAAGGGTAATTACAAAATTTTTTTTTTTTATCAATGTGACATGCAAAATATTTCTGCACATGACACATGAGATTTATTTATATATATGGGTCAAATGTTTGAGTTGTTCTTCCCCTAAAAAAAAACATACAATATATTACATAACTTTTTCAAATGAGAAATGCAACAAACACTTCAAAAACGACAGTCATCTGCTTAATAAAGATCTACTACAGTGACATTTCACAGTGAATTACTTTCTATTTACTCTAATTTCTATTTTCTAACGTTAGACACGATGTCAATGGCTAACTCTGTCAATATATTGCCACACTAATGTTACGCTACATACTATACTACAGCATACATCGGCGTATATAAGGATTTTCTTGGTTAGCACATCCACTGACTATGAAATTACCTGTGAAACTTCTTCCCACAGCCAATGCTACATAGGTAGGCTTTTTTACTGCGCGTCTCAGTGGGAGTGGGGAGTACCAAGATGGTGGCCATGGCTTTTCTTTTCTTGTGCAATCGGCAGTCCAGTGAATAAATAGCGATCAGTGGTCCAACCTCAGAGGAGTTTGAGGATTGGTGAACTGAAAGATGTGATGCAAATGGGCTCTTTAAAGGAAGCAGCCCCTAAATAAGTTGCTTTCACGTGACGTCACAGAGCATCCACTGCTTTGCCGATTGTGGAAAAAAGTGTGTTTAGTGTTTACGGCTGCTCCAGTTGTTCTAGCAGAGTAAAGGCTTACTATTGAAAGCCTTTACTCTGCCCTAATATAGACTGGATCAGGTTCTTAGGCTGTCTGACCCTTTTGGTAACGTTGAGTCAGTAGACTGGGCTCCAACGGTCCAATGAGCTTTCACACCTTAGTGAAGACCAGATGATAATTATTGTGGGCCATGATCTGTAGATTTGGATTTTTTTAGATGAGGGACAGAAATCCAGAACCTTTCCTGGACATATTTGTTCCTGAATCAGAAAAAATAAAACCTGAAACAAGATTCCTAGTAGAACGTGTGATAAGTAAGCAGGCCCAGTTCTGGTTCTGATGGATGGAAACATTTGTTAAAGACAACGAGTTTCTTGGATTAATCCAAAGATTTATTGACAGTGATGAGTCTGTGGTTCTGTAGGTTTTGGACAGCAGCTGAGCGGGAGCAGCTGGGTCGTCTCTGCAAAGTTCTGATTGACAGCGGCAGGCGGGACTTCCTGAGGACCCAAGGATTCAGCAGCAAACTGACCCGCTACGTAGATCCGGCAGTGACTCTGGAGAACGTCTTACTGACAGCAGTACCCTCCTCCTCCTCCTGATGTTCTGCTGGTCTGAGGTTCAGATGGGCCGGTTCTAAATGCTTATTGGACCCTGCCGTTGAAATAAGGGGATCAGACTTTACATAAAAACTTGTTTAATTGAAGGGGAACTCTTCCTCAGCTACATTTCTTTAAATCATTTTCTATTAAAGACGTTTCAGGTCTTTGCTGCGTATCTCTTGATCCAAACTGTGTTTTGGTTCTTATCCAGTGAATCGGTTGATGAATTTGCTGGATTTTTATAGATTAGCTTCTGTAGAGCCCAGAAGAAGCAGGGATTCCAGAACCGATGAGTGTTGGTTATCTATCAGCTGAATCCTCATCGTTCTCTGAAAGGTTGAGAACAGAAACCCGTCAGAAGCTCTGACAGAAACCACAGGTCCGGTTAATACCAGGTTAGTCTGTCCAGCCGGTGTAGAGATGAAGGTTAGAATAGGATGAAATGGTGTCATTATTCCTGTTAGTGGGTCAGGTTAACGACCCGGTGGCAGCAGCGATCCGGTTATGTTGGTTAGACTCCAGAGCTGGGCGGTACTAACGGTTGACGCAGTGCATGTTGAGCACAGCGTAGGATCTCTTCCGCGCCTCCTGGATGTACATCTGCATGAACTCCCGTCCAAACATCTCCCTGTCGTCCTCGTCCTCTCCGTCCTCGGCCGCCTTCCTCGGAGGCAGGGTCACATCCATGGTCAGAGGGTTGTCTCTGAAATTTACAAACCTGGAGCAGAAAAAAATGGAACAGAAATCAGTCAACAGCAACATCAAGACATGCAACACCTTCTGACCACAGAGACCCGCCAGAGACGGAGAAAGAGCTGCACTTTAGACCGACTGGTTCAAATTATTAAGGAAGTCAGGATGGATGTAATTCTCACAAATGGGCACACAAGGAAAAAATTACTCCTACAAGCAGTTTTATTTAAATAGTGCATGTAAACTAAACTATTCTCTCAGCGCATTTTAAATGTTACGCGTATAGATGTTGCACACATGCGTCCATGCTCCTTCTCTGTACCCATAGCCTCTGTTTCTGTGTGAAACAGACTTGGAAGGCTAAAATATTTGTCATTCATAGAGTTTAACTTTGTAACTTGCATATGTACTTATATTATACCACATTGTATTTCTCTTTTATTAGTATTGTCTCATTTTTTACTGTTTTTTTATGTATTCAACCATATTTTATGCCTTGTAAAGCTTTTAATTTTCTCTCTAAACAACAGTCCACCTCGTAAGACCAGTTTGTTTTTTTTATTGGTAAGGGAGTGTATCAACATAATTTTTTTCTCTTTATGTGTAACAAAATTATTGTTAAGGACACCATACCGAGAAAGTGTTAAACTCAGGGTGGATACCACATGATCAGGTGGATAGTAGCAAAGAATAAGATTTGTTCTCCTCTATTTAGAGGTAACTTAAATTGTAATAGATGCAAAGTTCAAAATAAGAAAAGTGATGACTGGGGAGAAATAGACCATCTGATTGGCTATTTTACAGGAAATCCCGCCTATTTAGACAGTGCTGTCTTCTTCCTGGGTGTGGTGAAAGTTTGCAAAGCTTCACCAGACTAATTGTTAATGTTAATTAACCAGATGTGACACTTTGTGTTAGACTTTAAGCAACTGACTAAATAACTTTTTTTAGTGTAAGGATGCTACTTCCAACACTAGTTGGACAGATTGACCTAATCCTCTGTGGACTGGCCTGAGGTCAGACAGGACAGCAGTACCTGAGGTTGGTCATGTCCTCCATCAGTGACGGGATGTCTCTTAACCTGTTGCAGCTGAGGACCAGCGTGTCCAAACTTGCCATCCTGCTGATGCTTTCTGGGAGTTTTTCCAGCTCGTTCCTCTGCAGCCAAAGCGTGTGCAGCTTCTCCATCCTAAGCACATGTCCAGCCATTAATGGGCTGTGGGTGGAATGGGCGGAGTTAATGTGTTTCTCCATCACGTACCTGTAGATGTCGTCAGGTAATAGCTGCAGGCGGTTTCCTCCCATGTCCAGCCACTCCAGACCCGGCATGGCGACCACACAGTCCGGGAAGAAGAGGAAGTCGTTCATGGATAAATCCAAGTGCTGAAGCCTCTTAAGGTTCCTCAGCTGGAGTTCAGAGACCAACAGAACCCAGGTCACCTGGACCAGAACTAGATATACAAGTTCAGGTTCACAGAAATGTGATAAAACCTTCACTTGTTTAAAACCTGGCCTGAACGACCGACTGATTACCACTGGAATTATACCTGGTCTGGACTTTAACCTGGTCTAACTCATTCCAGAGGTCTGTTTCACAAAGCAGGTTTACTAAAAACTAAGTTTTGATGCCCTAAAAGTAATCTTCAAACAGGAAATCCCATTCAATATACAGGTGCTGGTCATAAAATTAGAATATCATGAAAAAGTAGATTGATTTCAGTAATTCCATTTAAAAAGTGAAACTTGTATATTATATTCATACATTACATACAAACTCATATATTTCAGATGTTTATTTTGTTTAATTTTGATGATTACAAATGACAACAAATGAAAATCTCAAATTCATCATATCAGAAAATTAGAATATTGTGAAAAGGTTCAAAATTGATGGCCCCTGGTGCCACACTCTAATCAGCTAATTAACTCAAACCACCTGCAAAAGCCTTTAAATGGTCTTTCAGTCTAGTTCTATAGGCTACACAATCATGGGGAAGACTGCTGACTTGACAGTTGTCCAAAAGACGACCATCGACACCTTGCACAAGGAGGGCAAGACACAAAAGGTCATCGCTAAAGAGGCTGGCTGTTCACAGAGCTCAGTGTCCAAGCACATTAATAGAGAGGCGAAGGGAAGGAAAAGATGTGGTCGAAAAAAGTGTACAAGCAAGAGAGATAACCGCACCCTGGAGAGGATTGTGAAACAAAACCCATTCAAAAATGTGGGGGAGATTCACAAAGAGTGGACTGCAGCTGGAGTGAGTGCTTCAAGAACCACCACACACAGACGTATGAAAGACATGGGTTTCTGCTGTCGCATTCCTTGTGTCAAGCCACTCTTGAACCACAGACAGCGTCAGAAGCGTCTTGCCTGGGCTAAAGAGAAACAGGACTGGACTGCTGGTGAGTGGTCCAAAGTCATGTTCTCTGATGAAAGTAAATTTTGCATTTCCTTTGGAAATCAAGGTCCCAGAGTCTGGAGGAAAAGAAGAGAGGCACTTCATCCACGTTGCTTGAAGTCCAGTGTAAAGTTTCCACAGTCAGTGATGGTTTGGGGTGCCATGTCATCTGCTGGTGTTGGTCCATTGTGTTTTCTGAGGTCCAGGGTCAACGCAGCCACATACCAGGAAGTTTTAGAGCACTTCATGCTTCCTGCAGCTGACCAACTTTTTGGAGATGCAGATTTCATTTTCCAGCAGGACTTGGCACCTGCACACAGTGCCAAAGCTACCAGTACCTGGTTGAAGGACCATGGTATCCCTGTTCTTAATTGGCCAGCAAACTCTCCTGACCTTAACCCCATAGAAAATATATGGAGTATTGTGAAGAAGAAGATGCAATACACCAGACCCAACAATTCAGAAGAGCTAAAAGCCACTATTAGAGCAACCTGGGCTATCATAACACCTGAGCAGTGCCACAGACTGATCGACTCCATGCCACGCCGCATTGCTGCAGTAATACAGGCCAAAGGAGGCCCAACTAAATACTGAGTGCTGTACATGCTCATACTTTTCATGTTCATACTTTTCAGTTGGCCAACATTTCTATAAATCCTTTGTTTTTATTGGTCTTCAGTAATATTCTAATTTTCTGATATGATGAATTTGAGATTTTCATTTGTTGTCATTTGTAATCATCAAAATTAAACAAAATAAACATCTGAAATATATGAGTTTGTATGTAATGTATGAATATAATATACAAGTTTCACTTTTTAAATGGAATTACTGAAATCAATCTACTTTTTCATGATATTCTAATTTTATGACCAGCACCTGTAGACATTGTCTTATTGGAAGTAACACCTACAACTATTATTACACGAGATGAAAAATATCTTTTGAATAAATTATTAACCAGCTACTCTAAAATGTATAACAATCAGATGACTCAAACCTGAGCCTCCTTTATACAATATATGGATTCGGAAGGTCTGGGATATATACCAAATGGAACAGATAACATATTCTCTGAGACTACAAATACTTACAGGTAAAAGCCAGTAAATTAGAATATTTTGAAAAACTTGATTTATTTCAGTAATTGTATTCAAAAGGTGTAACTTGTACATTATATTTATTCATTGCACACAGACTGATGCATTCAAATGTTTAATTCATTTAATTTTGATGATTTGAAGTGGCAACAAATGAAAATCCAAAATTCCGTGTGTCACAAAATTAGAATATTGTGTAAGGGTTAAATTTTGAAGACACCTGGTGCCACAAACTAATCAGCTGATTAACTCAAAACACCTACAAAGGGCTTTAAATGGTCTCTCAGTCCAGTTCTGAAGCCTACACAAACATGGGGAAGACTTCAGATTTGACAGTTGTCCAAAAGACGACCATCGACACGTTGCACAAGGAGGGAAAGACACAAAAGGTTATTGCTGAAGAGGCTGGCTGTTCTCAGAGCTCTGTGTCCAAACACATTAATAGAGAGGCGAAGGGAAGGAAAAACTGTGGTCAGAAAAAGTGTACAAGCGATAGGGATCACCGCGCCCTAGTCAAGATTGTGAAAAAAACCCATTCAAAAATGTGGGGGAGATTCACAAGGAGTGGACAGCTGCTGGAGTCAGTGCTTCAAGATCCACCACCAAGAGACGCTTGAAAGTCATGGGTTTCAACTGCCTCATACCTCGTGTCAAGCCACTGTTGACCAAGAAACAGCGCGAAAAGCGTCTTACCTGGGCTAAGGAAAAAAAGAGCTGGACTGCTGGTGAGTGGTCCAAAGTCATGTTTTCTGACGAAAGCAAATTTTGCATTTCCTTTGGAAATCGAGGTCCCAGAGTCTGGAGGAAGACAGGAGAGGCACAGGATCCACGTTGCCTGAAGTCTAGTGTAAAGTTTCCACCATCAGTGATGGTTTGGGGTGCCATGTCATCTGCTGGTGTCGGTCCACTCTGTTTCCTGAGATCCAGGGTCAACGCAGCCGTCTACCAGCAAGTTTTAGAGCACTTCATGCTTCCTGCTGCTGACCTGCTCTGTGGAGATGGAGATTTCAGGTTCCAACAGGACTTGGCGCCTGCACACAGCTCAAAATCTACCCGTGCCTGGTTTACGGACCATGGTATTTCTGTTCTAAATTGGCAAGCCAACTCCCCTGACCTTAGCCCCATAGAAAATCTGTGGGGTATTGTGAAAAGGAAGATGCAGAATGCCAGACCCAAAAACACAGAAGAGTTGAAGGCCACTATCAGAGCAACCTGGGCTCTCATAACACCTGAGCAGTGCCAGAAACTCATCGACTCCATGCCACGCCGCATTAATGCAGTAATTGAGGCAAAAAGAAGCTCCAACCAAGTATTGAGTATTGTACATGCTTATTATTTTCATTTTCATACTTTTCAGTTGGCCAACATTTCTAAAAAAAATCCCTTTTTTGTTTTAGCCTTAAGTAATATTCTCATTTTGTGACACACGGAATTTTGGATTTTCATTTGTTGCCACTTCAAATCATCAAAATTAAATGAAATAAACATTTGAATGCATCAGTCTGTGTGCAATGAATAAATATAATGTACAAGTTACACCTTTTGAATGCAATTACTGAAATAAATCAAGTTTTTCAAAATGTTCTAATTTATTGGCTTTTACCTGTATATTCACTAAATGTTGGAAACCTGTCGTACCACTAATAATGCAATGACATTTATTATTTTTCCCCAACTTTCAAAGTCTGGAACTTTTACCTTTCATACTCTTGAAATCACTCTGTTGTTTGTGTTTTGTTTTTTATGTTTAAAAGTGTAAAAAATACACATGTACATTCGTACCACACTGTATTATTTCGGAAAAAATAATGAAAAAATTTGTTCAAAAAAAAAACAACAAAGTTTTCTAAACCTGAAATAAGGGAAACTCTGATATTTCCGTTTCACAAAAAAAAGTTTACTCAACCTCTGTTACCATAGTAACATTCTCCATAGGGCTAACCTGGTTGGAAGCAGGTTTCCCTCAATAAACCTCTGTCTCCACCCTCCTCACAGCCAATTACATCATTTTATTTCCTGATTTAATCACCAGAGTTCTGTTGTAGTTTGGTGCAAACAATAAAATCATTCACTAGGTCGTTAGTAACATTAGGAGTTAGAAATAAAAACACAGCTTGCCTTTTTAACGAGGATCCAATTAAAGAATAAGTGGCATTAATTCACAGAATAATTAAATATTTATAGGGAGAGGGTTTTCAGACCGCCTTTAGAGGCCATTTCTTATTCAGTTATCTTATTGAGTGCTATAGTTTCCCTCACAATCCATCACATACATCCACGACTTTATCCATCTTCGCATTAGGCAGCATTACACAGACTTACTTAACAGGTACTTATAAGTGATATCCGTGAGAGAACATTGATGTGCGATAACAGCATCTTATCAAGCCAATGCAAAAAACATCAGAGAGCCACTTATTTACCAAGTAATGGAAGACTGAAATAAAATGAGGAACCCCATGAGATGATGCACAGATTCTACCTGTTTGAACAAGTTTGTTATACCTCATCTTCACCTTCTGACAGGTGTGCTTCTCTCCAGTAAGATTTCACTTAAAAATAATCATTGATCCACTACCATTCAACCAGTTAACTAGTTCCTCCCCAATGTTAGAATCATTATGACAGCTTAAGGCAGGCCGTTCAGATATGTATTATTTTGTCTGGATAAGTATTTTACTATCTGAAATATATATTTTTTTCTTGTCAAAAGAAAGTTTTTAAATGAAATGACATTCATCACATCAAGAATAAACATTCCGGTTGTCTTGAAATTAATTTCAGCTCTCCATATTCCTATTGTTATTGGTCAGCATTTGTATTATTTTGATTAGAAAGAGACATTTCAGATATCATAAATACATAATCAGTCAAGCTGAGAAATGGGAAAATGGCCACTTAAAATGTGTAAAGATTTCTAGGTATATAAAAGTTACTATCAAAAAAAACTATTTATTTTTTTTTCTTTTACTTTCTGAAATTCAGTTTTTGCTTCAAAAATGTAATTTAGAACCTCTATTATTACAGTTCAGACTAGGAGTGTGATTTTGACCAGGAAGAATCCTATTGTAGTGATCTAAAATGGAACAACACAGAGCAAAGTGCTTTTTATTTAAATGTTAAAACTGCCTGCCATAAAACACTTTGTATAAACTAATGCATTAACTCGAATATTAATCATCTCCTTCACCATCTTCCTCTCCTTTGTAGCTGTAGTGCTGTTGCTCTGTTTTAATTTTTACATTAAAATCTCTTATTACAGTGGTGTGAAATTGGCCCTTACTGTTGCCATAGTGAATCGTCGAATCGAGGCTCCAATGATAATGGCTTATCATACTTGTTACGCACGTGTTCAACTCTGAGTGGCTCTACTTTGAGCGATTGCCTTAATTCATAGCTGCTTTTTTGAAATAGAAAAGTTGGGAGTTTCCAACCTAGATCAAATCAGAGTTCAGGATTTGAGTCTGAGTTTGTTGAATATGCTTTGTGAAGTGGGCCTCTGGTCTGGACCAAAACCCTGGTCTAACTCATGCCTGGTCTGAATCTCACCTGGTCTGGAAGCTCGTTGAGGTCCCGGTTCATAGCCAGTTCTAGTCTCTCCAGACTCTCACATCCACTCAGTTCTTCAGGGACGAACTGGATTCTGTTGTAGCTCAGCAGCAGTTCTCTGAGCCGGGTCAATTTACCTGGAACCAGAGAAGTCTGTTTAAAATGAGGCTGACTTTACCTACCATCAGATCATCTGCCCCATTATTCAAATGCTTTATGCCTGGTTTAGTTTACAAAGTAGAGGCTTATTCAGGTGTGTGATGGTACCCACCAATCTGTTTCGGGATCTCTGTGACTGCATTACGGGACAGATCCAGAACCAGAAGGTTCTGAAAGCTTGAGATATAATTAGGAATCTTTAGCAGGCCAGTCCTGTGGATCTGCCACTCCTGGACCTGAATGAATTGGACCAGGCATGCTGGCAAGCTCTGGGAGAATGATAGACAGGTCAACAGGTTGTTCTGGATCAGGAAAAAAAAATGGTTCCATTGCTGTTTGGGATACCTTCCACTCCTCTTGTTCAATGCGGAGAACCAGTCTTCCATCTTCTGTCTGCAGCTTTTCCTTCAGCCGAGCCAGAATCGCCCGGTCCTCCCAGACCCGGACGCCGAGTCTGGCCCAGAAAGTTTAAATGAAGTTAAAATCAGTTAGACCAGAACCTGCTAGGGAGATCTTAGACTAGTTTTCAAGGAACTTCTTATTTCAGCTGACGTCTTGCACAGCCTTATACGCGCAGTGATGAGAACAGAAAGCAGGAGGCAGTTTAATGGACCGCTTCTCAATATACAGGTAAGCTGCTGCTAAGACGGTTGGACGGAAAATAGTGTTTTTTGACAAGCATTACAAAATTACAATAACTACTAAACACTGATAAACTTTTTTTTTCTCTAATCGTCTTCATCCATTAACTTATATCTTAGATTTCTACATCAAAAATAGGAATTAAAGGTATAGTAAATGTGTATTTATTAAAATAACAACCAGTGGACCATGAAACATTAACATAATTTCAATATGCAAAGAAGAAGAGAGGCAGGATGATTTCTATAATGTACAAGGAGAAGCAAAAGTGCTGTTTAATAAAAGAAGTACTCTATTAAACTATTTTTTGTATGAAGTTACAAAGGAAAAAACAGAAATAAAAAAAATTATAGGATGATAACGTTAACTTCAACTTTTTATATCCCAGAGAAAAATACATATTCTATATATTATACTACATTGAGGTACTGGCAGTTGACGGAGCGACTGGGCCAGAGCGGCTCAGAGAGTACATCGACTATATGGAGTGGAACGCCATTAGACTTCTCCCCTCATCCTCTCCATTTACCCCTGCTGGTGGTGCAATGCAGTGTGAGAGACGACCAAATCAGCAAGCCAGAACACACCGTCTACTTTAGCCTCACTCACCTTTATCAGTAGTTCAGATTGGAAAGATTATGTTTGACTGAATAACATGTTACCATGACAACAAATTGAAACTGCTTTCTGCCTGCCTATATCTGGATTTCCCAGACAGTAAAACAAGCAAATCTGTGCAGCCTACAGTTTCATCCAGATCCCAGTCAGGGTTACAATATAGATTAAAGTAATAGAGAAAGTGGGTGGGGTCTTACCTGCCTGTGGTCCCGCCCCTGGATTTCTGCCTCCTCTGCTCCTCCTCCTCCTTAACTCTCTTGATTCGCGTCTCCCACAGAGCTTTGATGGAGCTCACCGAGCTGCAGACCACCGCACCCGCCATGACAGCCAGATGATGTCACAGGTGGGGCAACCTTTGACCTCTGAGCTGCAGGCTCATTCCCCTCTGAGGATCCTAGACGACATGATCATAGTCATCGGTACTTGGTTATGAACAGTACGAATGCAGCAAATCAGAGCCATTAACTCCTGTTCCTTTACTTCTCATGGGGTCAACAGTAAATACTCTAACATGGGTAGAAAAGAACCTCTGGACTGCTGTGCAGAGATCTCAGATGACACTTGTCAAATTGGGACTGCAGATTTTTTAAATAAAGGACTACAAATAAACACAAGTTATATATATGTAGGAAATGGCTACATATGAGTAATTTCTATATTATAAAACCCAATATATATGAAGGTGTATACATCAGCATGGTGCACACAGAGTACAGTGAAGAACTAAATTATTTTGTTAATTTCCATGAGATGGGCTGTGATTATTGGTCATCTCAGACAAAGCATTCTTGGTGTGGATGCTAAGCGGCAGTTGCAAGCTAAAGGAACCATTATAGGAAGCATACAGGCCCCTTTCACCACCTCCTTCCTCACTGCCAGCATTGTTTAGAGCAAACTTATAATGACGAATGCTCAGGCATGTTTTGGCCTTGGCTAATGAGTGCTTACTTTCAGATCAAGCCCCAAAAAGACAGCTGCCACTAATGAGGTTATCAGCAGGTAAGTTGTAAAGATGACGCTAATTACCTGATAGCGGGTGAATAAATAATCTGGAGCTTTAAATGTTGAGATGATTACACCCAAAACTGTTTACTAAAGCTAAGAAGGATGGGTGAAGAGAGAAGCTGCAGCTCTGGGAAAGTTTACTAATTAAATATGCAGCTGGAGAGGATACCTGCAGTCTCTCTTATAAAGGTTGTGCATGCACAAAATGGGGACGGAAACTTGTGTACGCTGCTTTGCTTTGCAAACTTGGCATTAAAATCGGCTGTCCTCGATGCCAACTTCGACCCATGCATGGGTGGTACGCACATTTTGGAGGCAGGGAAAGCAAGCAACACAGACGGTGAGGTGGGGACATAATTCAGATTGCATCATAAATCCTCTCAATTCATTTCACTTCATATTAAATTGTAATTATAGATCAACTTTATCGGATCCCAAGCTGGAGTGATATATGCTGCTACTGCTGAGCCATAACGATTCATGAGGACCTGTCGCATAAAGAAAAAGTTTGTAAGTTGCTAAAAGTATAAATCAAAGTGCTCAGATCATTTCTCACCATCAAATTCCTCCAAAAAGTGAGTGGTACCACAGATCAAGACATAAATGTGTCAGAGTGAGACACATTCACTTGTATTGCTGTAAACTTTTAAATCCCGTTGCAAAGCCCGCATGTAAAGGTGAAGGATGGATGCTTTGGCTCTGATGGAAGATGCTGAAAATGGGAGAATTGGGAGGGAACACATTTTCAAGAATCACCAGGATTTCCTGGCCCATGATGATGACTGGCTTATGAGCCTATTAAACTCCCTGGATATACATGTACTGAACTTGGTCCAAAATGTGGTCAGTGCGCACAACTTGAATGTAGATAAAAATGGAAGGCTAGCTGGTTGCATGGGTCAAAGGAAACACAATTACATATGGATAACCAGCACTCAGTGGTAAGATTTGATTTATATCTATACATTGTAGGTATATGTCAATCATTTATGTAATATGGGTGAGGAAGGGATGTAGCTTCATGCTGCAATCTGTTTATTAAAGATACAAAATAATCCACACATCTATAGAGAGATTACAATGTTAATGTAGGTAACAATGTTTCCTGAAGAGCAACTATCCTCCTGACCATTCCAAAAAAATACAATCATAGTTACTCTAAATAGCCTCTTCTGACATTAGTCCATCCATTGATCTGCCTCTATTAAGTCAACTCAACCAGCTAGTTATTGCTAGCTGCGAAATCAGGCAGCCATGGACTGAAAGGGGTGAGGAGGTCCAACGGCTGATGCTGATTAGCTGATTGATTCAGTTGTAAAAAGTCATTATGAAATAAATAGGGCCAACATCATTATGGAATAAAAACTGTTAACAATAATAATTGATTATTATTGTCCTTATATATTATCCTTTATTGATCTCACATTGCAGAAATTAACTCTCTGCATTTAACCCATTCCCTTAGGAAGCAGTGGGCTGCCATCGTGGGGCGCCCAGGGAGCAGTGTGGGGTTAAGGGCCTTGCACCCAGAGTGGCAGTCTATGGGAGAGGGGCTCAAACTCAGAACCTCAGTATTCCAAGCTCTATGCCCTAAATAAAATGACACAACAATCATTTCTATAATTGGGAACAAATAATGTAAAAACATATTTTTTATTACATATATTTCATAAGATGAAAATTCTAAATTCTGCTTTTTTCATAATTTCATCGTCACATTATATATTTATGTAGTATTTGATCAAGTATTTATTTCATAATGTTCATTTTTTTAAAATTATTACTTTATTATCAGCATTTGTGTTCCATAGATCAGGGGAATTGAGCCCTGGTCCTCAGGGCCCACTGACCTGCTTGTCTCTCTGCTTTAGCACATCTGAATCAGATGATTGCATTTCCTCCTCAGCAAGTTCCAAGGGCTGAAGAGGGATGTTAATCATCCATTTATTTAAATCAAGTGTGTGGGGGAGCCCTAAAACATGCTGGACCTTAGGTGACTGTCATATGAGCCAATCTCCATAGATCAGGGGTCTCCAACCCTGGTCATTAAGATCTACTGTCTTGCTGGTTTTAGAGGGATCCTTGCTCCAACACAGCTGATGCACATTGATGGTTCGTTACCAGGCCTGTGACAAATGACGGGGCATGCTGTAGAGATAATTTATTCATTTGAATTACCGGTAGCTGCTAGAGCTGGGATGCATCTCAGATCTACAGGACAGTACGGTAGATCTTGTGTATTCCAGGACCCAAAGCATTTCTCTTGGATCAGAGTGCTGAGTTGGGTCCAATAATGGGAAACTGACCCACAAAACCCACAGCATCCAGGAGGTCAGTGCAAAACTGTAATCTAAAAATAAAATAAAAAGAAAGGGTAGCTGGGAGCACAGTTTAAAAATAATATAATTAAATATAAATGGCCAGAATTGTTTATGTATTAAACTATTAAATGAGTCTTATATTTAAAATATAATTGTATGCATATATAGAGTATATATATTTAAATGATTGAATATCAATGTATCTTCATAATGCAGTCATTTTAATAAAGATCAAAGAGTACACAGCATTTAAATCTTACAGACGGCACAGTGTGCTGTTTATCAGCCTTTGTCTTTCATTCATTTCCGATGTGAACTATTCTGGGTTCTTGGCTAACAGCTCCAGTGCAAATTCCCACACAGGTGTTAAACATAAACAATTAACTCTGTGCTTGAAGCCACTTTTTGGACCAAAACGATTCTGTAAAATTCTCCATTAATCTGAGATATCACAGCCAGCACTTAGTGCAGGACTACCTACCATCTTGAACGTTCTTGTTAATATGATCACTCCATTTAAGACTCTTTCTCCCTCATAATTCTTCCATTTGTTTGTTGCCACTAGTGAAGCAAGCAAACATATTTATCCAACTTCCCATCTAGCTCACCAACACACCTGTTTGTGGCTCTATCTTCCTAGTGGTTGCCATTGGTAACCATTCAAAAACTGATCAGGCTCATTTCAATATATAATGCCATTCACGAGGTGCTTTGCATCAACCATTCATCACAATGAACAGTGGCAGCCTTGATCTCAATCCTTTAGGTACAGCTGGGATTTATAAAGGAAAAAACACCTGATTTTGTTTGTGGGCCTGATTTGTAAATCTGAATTTACAACTATGCCATTTGTGGGATGTTTCTACACTTTTAGTATGGATCCTTTGCTATGTTTATAAATGAGACCCAAGGTCTGTTTCCATGCACTTGCTCAAAAAGTTCCAACTTATCCTGAATGCTGCAGAAACTGCTGATTTTAGAGACTTTGAATGGTTCAAACTGGGGCTGATCAGGTACTGTCCTGCAGAGCTGCCCTCTTGCATCCCTGATTCAACACACTGGAACTCTCCAAAAGGATCATTAAGTTCCCCAGAGGCCAGAGTCAATCATCTGGTTCATGTATGATGGACAAGGGGCGTGCACATAAAAGCTTTAGGATGAAAACTCTGGAGGATTGGACCAGAGCAGCCCTGCTTCTATTTCTAATTCCCTTTTTTTTAAAGCTACAGTGTGTAATAATTACAGGGATATACAGTCAGAAATGTAATTATGTATAATGTATTATACATATCTATGTTATTAATCATCATCTACGAGCTCAGCCTCTTAACCTTAATATTTGCGTTGCCTTAGAATTCGTTATTTATAATTACATAGGAGCGGGTCTCGCAGCCATGGAGGCAGACATCTTTGCGCTACGGCAGCGCAGAGCCAACAAACTAGCGATTGCGAGATCGCCCATTACGCTCGAAAGTAACTACGGCAAGTTGAGAGAGATGAACTGAGACGGTACTGAACAATAGTTGCCAGTATTATGCCTGAGAATACTATCTGTAAAATTATCTATGTAAACAAACCTCATCACTTGAGAAGGTAGGTGATGCGGTCGTCGTGGAAGACATTTTGTCCCGTAACGCTCGCCGTACTGTTGGGGGGGAGAAGCGGTGGGGGGGAGCTGTTCATGTTGCTGCGGTCTGCAGCTGAAAATTACACACTGTAGCTTTAATGCAATGGTCAGCTGGATATATCATCTGCCCATTAGCTCCCCTGCTGGCAAAACTGCATTAATGCAGATATTTATTTTTTTTTACAGTAAACCAACTTCAGATGGTCACCATCAGCAGACCGACTTCAGATGGTCGCCATCAGCAGACCGACTTCAGATGGTCGCCATCAGCAGACCGACTTCAGATGGTCGCCATCAGCAGACCGACTTCAGATGGTCACCATCAGCAGACCAACTTCAGATGGTCACCATCAGCAGACCAACTTCAGATGGTCACCATCAGCAGACCAACTTCAGATGGTCACCGTCAGCAGACCAACTTCAGAGGGTCACCATCAGCAGACCAACTTGAGATGGTCACCATCAGCAGACCAACTTGAGATGGTCACCATCAGCAGACCGACTTCAGATGGTCACCATCAGCAGACCAACTTGAGATGGTCGCCATCAGCAGACCGACTTCAGATGGTCGCCATCAGCAGACCGACTTCAGATGGTCACCATCAGCAGACCAACTTGAGATGGTCGCCATCAGCAGACCGACTTCAGATGGTCGCCATCAGCAGACAGACTTCAGATGGTCACCATCAGCAGACCGACTTCAGATGGTCGCCATCAGCAGACCGACTTCAGATGGTCGCCATCAGCAGACCGACTTCAGATGGTCACCATCAGCAGACCAACTTCAGATGGTCACCATCAGCAGACCAACTTCAGATGGTCACCATCAGCAGACCAACTTCAGATGGTCACCGTCAGCAGACCAACTTCAGAGGGTCACCATCAGCAGACCAACTTGAGATGGTCACCATCAGCAGACCAACTTGAGATGGTCACCATCAGCAGACCAACTTGAGATGGTCGCCATCAGCAGACCAACTTGAGATGGTCACCATCAGGAGACCAACTTGAGATGGTCGCCATCAGCAGACCAACTTGAGATGGTCGCCATCAGGAGACCAACTTGAGATGGTCACCATCAGCAGACCAACTTGAGATGGTCACCATCAGGAGACCAACTTGAGATGGTCACCATCAGCAGACCAACTTGAGATGGTCGCCATCAGCAGACCAACTTGAGATGGTCGCCATCAGGAGACCAACTTCAGATGGTCGCCATCAGGAGACCAACTTCAGATGGTCGCCATCAGGAGACCAACTTCAGAAGATCGCCATCAGCAGACCAACTTCAGATGGTCGCCATCAGGAGACCAACTTCAGAAGATCGCCATCAGCAGACCAACTTCAGATGGTCGCCATCAGCAGACCAACTTCAGAAGATCGCCATCAGCAGACCAACTTCAGATGGTCGCCATCAGCAGACCAACTTCAGATGGTCGCCATCAGGAGACCAACTTCAGATGTTCGCCATCAGGAGACCAACTTCAGATGGTCGCCATCAGGAGACCAACTTCAGATGGTCGCCATCAGGAGACCAACTTCAGATGGTCGCCATCAGGAGACCAACTTCAGAAGATCGCCATCAGCAGACCAACTTCAGAAACAGAATCAGGAGTTAAACCAAACCTACAAATATTCAAACTGTTCGAAACGTCTGACCCACATTTGAACAGCACCTCTGGGACCAGCAGCCTGTCTGTTCCTCCATAGTCCCACAGTTTGCCACTTTCAGAACCCGGAAAATGAGTGATCTTCTGGTTCTATGTCTTTCCTCACCTTGGAGCCCTGCAGCCGTCCTCCATGCTGCTGTAAGCTGACCTCAGATCTGCTGGCTAATTTTAGCTCCACATGACCCTGCTGAGAGTCAGCTGACCTGGTGCTGGTTCTAGCAGCATGGAAGCAGCTGTGCAAACACTTCCTGGTTCACTTGATGTTTCCAACTGAAGAAACAGGACAGGAAAACCTTAAGTTTGGGTCAGAACCTCATGGTGCAGACTGAGGCTTAGGGGACACCAGTCAATGCTCTCCCTGTTGGATGGGGTTAACAGTTTGGGTCGGAACCATGAACAGACACAGACAGCAGGCGTTTTGTTCACGTCAGCTTTATTCCTGCAGACTCAGGAAACATAGAAATCTTACATCTATCAGAGGCTACCACCCACACAGAGCAGGAACCTGGGAGAACAGCAGGGAACATTCAGCAGGAGCTTCACCCAGGGGCCAGCAGGGCGGCGACAGCCGGGCTCTGCATCAGGAAAAGAGACGTTCTGGCTGCTTTCCTAATTTATGTCTGGGTTCAAAGGGGTTCTGGCGAGTTCTGGGAAAACCAGATGTAACAGTTTTATTCCAAGGAGGTTTAACTCCGGTCCTCGCAGGCGGGGACCATATGTCTGGATCAGGACAATACCTCAGACAGGCAGGACGCCAGCCTTCAGAACTGACTTTGGACCCCTCTGCTCAAATCCCTGTGGTCACATGACCCCCAGCTGTTAGTTTCAGTGTAACAGAACAAGGGGGCGGAGCCTGAAACATCAGCTGGTCCGGGCATGTGGCGAACTAGAATTTTCTTAGGAAGACTAATACAGACCCGTTCTGTTCTGGAGAACCAAGTAGTGAACTTCAATAGGTACATTTGACTCTTTGTCGTGTTCAGAACTGGTTCTGAACCAGTTTCTGTCTAGAGCTGGTCTAGAAAACACAGATCCAGAATAAGCCGATACAAAACTTGAACCCACAGAACCAAAATGTATAGATAGAATAGATTAGGGATCCAGATACAAGTCCAAGACCTTCAGAACTATGACCCGAGGATGTTCTCAGGTTGACTGGTACTCATGTCCTATGCAGGTGGTGCTGTATCGCTGATGGTGTAGCAGGAATTCTGATTTCATCTCCCCGCTCAGACTGACGTCGGTTGCTCTATGTCTGTATCTAAAACCGTATGTTTGGGCGTCATGGTAACCCAGTGACTAGCAGCTGAACCCCACCCCCCCAGGGTCCTGCTCAAAGGCAACAAGGAAGCTACGAGGCAGCCAGGAAGGCCTCAGACAGAAACAGGAAGTGAAGGCGATGGAGGGGCGGGACCGTGTGTCGTGTTGGTCCTCCCCGGGACAGAAGTGTCTATTTGAGGTCCAGGACCATGCTGGCTGGGTTCTCCAGGTATTCCCTCCAAAGGTTAGAGAAGCGACACATGGTGGCGCCGTCGATGATGCGGTGATCCGCCGACCAGCTGACCTTCATGATGTGAGCTCGGGTCACCTGACCATCACTGTCGAACCGCGGCAGAACCTGGACGGACGGGAAGGCAGGGAGTTATTCAGTGAGAACCAATCAGCCGTCATTCCTGGACTGATCCTCACTCTGATTGGCTGATTCTTACCACCTGATTTCTGATGGAACTGTGTTTTACTATCAGGTTCTGCTACATTTAAAAGATAAAGGTTCCTCTACATTTTCTTTTAAAAATCCTGATTTGTTCTGATGGTCCCACCCAGTTCTCAATGTTTCACACTTTCCTGATCAACTAGAGGAAACTGGTCTAAAAATGATGTCATGTGAAACACTGAACCCAAATTCTAAATGTTCTCAGTTAGAGATGGTTCTGCTTCTGACTTCTAGCTCTGAGGACAACATTGATTGAGTGTCTGGACCTAACCTGGATTTTTCCCAGCGCTCCAATGGCGACCTCAGGAGGAAGAATGACAGGCTTGGCATACGTCCCTCCGATCTAACCCAGAAACACAGAAAACGGTCAGACTCAAGGTCATCGTCAGTGGAGGACTGCCGCTCTGCCGTACTCACCGATCCGATGTTGGACAGCGTGAAGGTCCCTCCCATCAGCTCCGCCTGTCCCAGCTGACCGGCAGCTCCCAGCGTCTGCAGCCGGTTCAGCTCCTGGGCGATCTCGAACACGCTAAGCAGCTGAACGTTCTTCACGTTGGGAACCAGCAGACCCTGACTGGTGTCCATGGCCAGGCCGATGTTGTGAGACGCCTGTGGAGATGCCCACAGCGTCAGCCCCACGGAGCAGCTTCCCCCCCACAGCAGCCAGACTGATGCTTTACCTTGTAGGTGATGTTCTGGCATCCTTCGTCCAGCGAGGAGTTCAGGATCGGGTAGTGGAGCAGACCGAGGGAGGCAGCCTGAGCCAGAGAGGGTCAGAGGGCGGTCAGTCTGCAGCTGTTGGTTAACTGGGAGCCAGTCAGCCCTCTAACCTTTGACCTCACCTTGATGAAGAAGGGCATGTAGCTGAGTTTGACCCCTCGTCTCTCAGCAACGGCTTTTAGTTCTGATCTCAGAAGAACCAGCCGGCTCAGGTCCACCTCGTCACAGTAACCAAAATGAGGAATCTTCAGTGCTGCAGTCATGGTCTTCACCATGGCTTTGTGGAAACCTGCAGACAGGAGAAGTTTAGCTACTCCATAGAGGGGAACCTTCTGGTTCTGATCTAACAGAACATCTTACCTTTGAGCGGCTCTGTTACATCCTTCCCAGTGAAGACAGGTTTGGGGGCAGTGGGTGGAGGTTTCACTCCAACTGGAGTGCTCACAGGCTTGGGAGCAGGAGCAGTGGGGGCGGGGCCCGGGGTCTGGATCTCCTGGAAATGTGGAGCTGGAGGTAGGATGGCTCCAGTCTGCTTCGCAAGGAAGTTCAAGATGTCCTCCTTCAGGATCCGTCCATCCTTGCCCGTCCCCACCACCTCACTGAGCTTAATCTGGGGGGACATGTCAGTCAGAACCCTTAGTTTAGAGGTTAGCCAGAGGAGGAGAACAACACTAGAAGTTCTCCATCTCATGAACCAGCTCCAGCAGGCTTTTAATCAATAAACCATCTCGGATTCTTGCACCCCTATGGACCCAGTTCAAGTCCAGCTTCTGATGAGGATACAGAAACATGCAATCCCTACTGGCACCCAGCAAATGGCTCAGGGCCCGATCTAGAGAAGACGGTTCAGTGGATAAAATCAACTAGATAAAATCTCTCCTCCCAATTTGTTCTAATGTAGCTACTGACACTGTAATAACATTGTTATCACAATAATGATCACTATAACCAATAATATTGCTTTTTCTCTCCTCTCTGTTGTTCCTAGAAGTCGTATGCCCCATTATCACTACTAACTGGGAGGGAAGCTGGTGATAATCTGGGACAAACTGGAGACTCACATTATTCTCCATGGCGAGGCGCCTGACGGCGGGCGTGGCCTGGGTCTTATGACCTTTGATCTCCTGGTGGGTGTGCTCCTCCCTGGCCATGGCAGGCGTCTCCACCACGTCCTCCTCCTGGTTCAGCTCTGATGGACAGAATTCAGAGACTAGAATACTACAAGCGACCAAACGGATCTGTTGACCCGTCAAATCTAGGTTCTGGTGTCTCACCCGATCCAGACTCCGTCTCGATATCAACCAGTGGTTTACCCACCAGCGCGGTGCCGTCCACGTCGTAGTAGAGTTTCCTGATGACTCCGTCATAGCGGCTGGTGATGGTGACGGACGCTTTGTCGCTCTGGACTTCACAGATGCTGTCGAACTGGGACACTTTGTCCCCTTCTTTGACGTACCTGAGACAGGTTAGAACTGAAACTGAATCTCAGAGTGACCCAGATGAGTCACATAAACGGCTATGAGCTGGAAACGTCCGATGGGACAGATGTGATCCTCAGACAGCCTCGTCTTTATTTTCCCTGTTTATCTACTGCTATTTCAGGTCTGCCTGGAAACCACTAAATTAGCTAAATTAGTGCATAAAGTAGGTTCAAAAACATTAAAAACTGACATTAAAATTGATTTTCCAGCCGTTGCATTCAGGAACAGTGGGAACTAGAAATGGTTTTAAACAGAATCGATGTTTGTGTTTAATTTTTATTTTACTGATCTATGCCGTTTATGTTCATGTTGTCACATAAAACATGTCTTACTAAAGAAATTAGGATTAGGATTAACAAATTTGTAAAGAATTTCCATTCCTTGTTATAAATTCCCACGTTCTCAAAGTAAAGTGGAAGAGCCATCAGAGTCCAACAGAATGGCTTCCTGTTCGCCTGTGGCGCCAATAACCTGGTACTAATATAAAGATTGGTCGTCATGACATCAGACAGTGAAACATAGACGGAGACATGAACTCTGTCCCGGTCCGTCAGTAAGATGCTGCAGCAGGTTCGCCATATTTAAAGATACTGAGCTGAGGTTAGTCAAGCACTTTCCAAACCCCATTACATAAATATAGGATATTGGTATATTAAAATCTAATATACAGAAGCTGTCAGCGATCATTCCACAACCCAACATCAGTTTGAGACTGAAAACTAATTTCAATCTGAATGTTTTCAGTTCATTATTATATTTCGGTTTAATCGTTTATTCAGGTAAAAAATAAATAAATCCTCATGGCCTAAATTTAGCTCCATACGTTTCTACCCTGTGAAGAATAATGGAGAAATGTTTCCTACCATTCCTTTACTGTCACCTCCATGATTCCCTCCCCGATGTCCGACAGCTTGAACTGGACGATGGATCCTCGCCGCGCTGCGGGTACAAAACAGTGACATCATCACGAGCATGAATCAAACGTCCCTCTGCATCATCTGGACCGGGAGACATGCTCCTCCTAAATAAATGCTCCACAGAACCAGGGAAGCTTCAGGAAAAGATCCAATACCGAAGTCTTAAAGAACTTGTCAGGCCAGGTCCATGTTGTGATACCCAACCGATTTTAATAAAGAACCGAATGTTTCTGCTCTGGGTCCCTGCAAACATTTTTTAGATTTTCTCACTGAATGAAACTCAACACAACAACAGTTCTTAAAATTTTTTAAATCATTTGGTTTAAAAACAGATTAAAGGTTTGTAATGAGACAAAGATTCAGCTCGACGAGCCACATTAAACCCTCGCCCCCAAACACCTACCAATGGCTGTGTGCAGCGCCCTGGCGCCGACCATCTGCAGGGATCGGTC